GCGAAATACATTTTCACAAGGGATGAAGTGACTACCTAATGCTGCTGACAAGACATGTGCAGTAGTGGGCCCTTTTTCTACTTTTTATCTAAATTGTTGCTCTCTTCAGAGGTCAATTCTTTTTTCAAGTAACTGTTTGTAAGCAAATTGGTATCATAAAAGAACCCCCATAAAAACAAAGGCTTCTCATTTCCTAACAGAAATCTGAGTGGATGACAACTACATGCAACCATGCACTTTATGCAATCTGTGATGTATTTACCCAATTTTATGAAGCTTTAAATGAGATCCTTCTTCCTGATATATTTGCACAGTTACACTGGTGTGTAAAACAAGGTAACTTATTTACTTTTATCTTTCGATGAATGTATTTTTAGATTGCTCATTTTTTCAAGAAAAAAAAAGTTTACTGATTTTTTTGGAAGAATAGAAATTACCACTGGAACAATGTGTTATATAATAGATGTGTGCTGTGTCTTAAATATTTAAAGGTCATTCTGTTTAATCAGTTAGGCAGCTCTTAATGTACGTATCATGCTATTGTGATATAGTAAAACAACTTGAGGAGTTCAGTTTTGTATTCTTTGTAAATGTATTTGAATTTCGACTTGTGTGCCTGAAATCTTCCAGTTTACTAGCACAGAATTTGAGGGACTAGCTAGAAAGAAATTTTAAGAACCTTCAATTCCTGTTTACCTTCTTTCATCCCACTCTAAGCTTCCTTCCTGTTTCTTTCCTTTGTCTTCCCTCATTGATTTTTCAGTCCCATGATGTCTCCTCTTAAACAGTACTTTCAGTTCAGTAGGACCCCAAAGTTCCTGTTGCTGTAGTATAATTTACACACAGGTTTTGAGCTACTGTGGGCACTTTGTACAAGCAGCATGTATCTCTGAACAAAAGTCTTAATGGAGCTGTATAAAGAATAATTCATTTTCCTTGTTATTATGCAAGTTGATAAATATGGAACGTGTCATTCACAGATAATGAGCAGTTGGCTCGATCAGGTACAAATTGTCTAGAAAATCTGGTAATACTGAACGGACAGAAATTCAGTCCTGAAGTCTGGGGCCAAACGTGCACTTGTATGCTAGAAATCTTCAAAACTACCATTCCTCATGTGTAAGTATGTGAAGAATATTTTGAAAACTAAGAGCTATTTCAGAACAACAGTATTTATACAGTTTTTCTTCTCCCTGGGAAGCTTGCTTACATGGAGGCCTGCAGGCATGGAGGAGGATTCGGCTGAAAAACACTTGGTAAGAGTTATTTCAGTGCAAACTAAGCTGAAGGCTAGTGTGTTAGGTTAGCTTTAGAAATACTTTATGTCAGTAAAGTAATTTGACAGCGAACACTGGAATTAACATTAGCTTGTATTTGATAGCATTGTGAAATAAGATTAAAAGAATTGAACTAATCTAATCTAAACTAATAGTTAAGTCATCTCAAAACTGATAGTTGGATGATAGTTTTTTGGAGATTATCAGAATTTTTCTACAATCTATTTTAGGATTTGGATCTAGATCACCAGTCTCTAAGCAGCATGGATAAAAATGCTTCAGAAAGAGGACAGAGTCAATTTTCAAATCCTACAGATGAAAGCTGGAAAGGTGGTGCTTATACAAGTAAGGATAATTTGTGAGTTAATCTTTCATGACCACTGTTAGTCCATCTCTGTAGTCTTTGGAGGTGGGGAGAAGGCTTTAAGCCATTTGATCACTTAAAATCTTAGTTGTAAAGACTTGATGTAACCTCTTATTTTTGGAGAAAAAGTGTTTCCCTTTATAAGGTGATTCACAGCATCACAAAACTTGAAAAGGTTGTAATTTTGCTAGCCTGTTTTAAGTGTATTGTCATTATTTCTAAAACCTGTTTTGTTCCATTTTATTAGACCAGAAATTATTTGCTGGCCTTCTTATAAAGTGTGTGGTACAGCTGGAATTGATACAGACCATTGATAATATAGTATTTTATCCAGCAACAAGCAAGAAGGAAGATGCTGAGCACATGGCTGCAGCTCAGGTACGATCAGATTTATTTATACCTGTGGCAGTAAAGTGCAAAGACAGCACTTGTAAAGTGTATTTACAGAATGGAGTACAGGGAGTCTCTTG